TATGTGTGAATGCCAGGTGTCAAAGAGATGACTCTAATTTTAGAATTAACATTAGCTTATTAAAGAAGCCCAGGAATCATGGGTCTGGAATGCAATGGTCTTACACCCTTAGGCAATGCATACTCATGTTCTCTTGTTGGTTCTGCTCCAATCATTTTCTGATATTGAGGGAGGGAGGACCAGACCACAGAATTAGCATGTGCCTAGGGGTTTGCCAAGAATTAAGTAAAGATTTAAATGCCAACCTTGTGAGATAGCATTGGTGATGGCCCTTGTCTGACAGGCTAAGCTCATTTTCATAATGGCCCTGTGCAGATATCCTCTGACCTCTCCAGATCCTTCGTCTGCTCTTTTCTGCCTGCTCTGTGCTCTGGGAGGCTGACCTTGCTAGAGGCATCACTTGGGTCCCCTCAATTTTATCTTGCAGATCTTTTCAGCCAATGGAGAGAACAGTAGATTAGTGAGGTACTTCTTCATTGCTTGGGAACCTGGTCTTTGGTTAGGGGTTGGAGTCCTGTCTTCTTGTCCCAAATCCAGTAGCACGATTTCCTGTCCTTTTCTTCTGGGCCTAGAAGTACGGCTGACAGCTGGTTTCTGGGTTTTACCCTTAACACTCATACCTCTGAAACAGACCTTCATTAAAATTTTTTCATTTGAACCAGGTGCCAATGAATTCTATTTCCAACCAGATTTCTTGTTGCCATTTTGCCCTGGTAACACTGTTCATTCTGTCTCTCCAATTATTATCAAGCACAGAAAGAAAGAAGGCCTCATGTTTCTGTCTGAGGTTCTCATACACTCATCAGTGTCCCCTGTAAACAAAATAGATGACTTTGTTCACATCCTGCCCTGGAATTTTTAGCCTCTGTTCAATGCATGAATCAGTGTTTATTCTACAAGCTCCTTCCAGAAACAGAAAAGCTAACATTTCTATAAAGCTAGACTGTTGCCTGGAATCAGAATTTGTTTGGTTTCTGAACTTTTCTGGCATCAGTGTGAAACAAACAAGTTATTGTACCTTTATGGAATAGAGAGGATTTCAACACGTAGCACACGGTATCTTAATTTAATTTGGAAGAGTTGTCCTGAGTGCTTGCCTGCAAATCCTAGCTAATCAATAAACTTCCTTGTCTATTAGCAGGGACTTAAAAATTACTTTTAAAGGGTGTAATGGGGTGATATTGGTCAAGGGGTACAAAATTTCAATTAGGTAAGATGAATAAGTTCTGGGGATGTATTTTATACTAGAAATCTGCAAAGAGGAAAGAGCTTGAACATTACACACTCACGAAGAAAATGGTAACTGGGAGTTGATGAGTGTTTTCGCTTGACTGTGGTGATTTCACAATGTCTATGTACATCCTAACATCAAGTTTTATACTTTAAAGATATATCATTTATATTTGTTAATGAAACCTCAAACTGGAAAAAAAAAAGTTGGAGAATAGGTCTGTCTTAATTCATCTAAGCTTTTTCTCTGTATTCTTAGCTAAGTGACTAAGTTTCCTACTTATAAATGGAAGGGGCTCCCCAATACCTTTGAGACCCATCATTGCTTTCAGGCATCATGTCACAAGCAAGTCCAGGCAATATTTTGCCAAGTGGTTGTCTGGCATACTTGTCTGAACTATTTATTTATAGTGACAGTAACATTTGGCACTTACATGTTCTCTGAACACCTGATAACCCCAGTTATCTTGTCCCGTAAGTGGCCCAGCTTTCACTGAGTTGGAGATGAGTGCTTGTAGGGGGAGGGAAAAAACTAACATTCCAATTTGCCAACAGTTTCCTAATACAAGTATGTGTAAGAAGCAGCCATCTCGGCCTCCAAGAACGCTTGTGAATTCACTTTGGATGCTGCCAGGCCAGTTCGGAGGCATCAATGATGAAAATCTTAAGTTATTTCTGGAGTGGATGATTGATATTTCAAATCAAAGTTGACATTTTGATGGGATCCAAACATGCTGTGATAGGAGTTAATGAGGATAATGATGATGATAATGATATTTACATTATACCTTTCTTCCAAAGAACCCTTCAGTTCTTTTATCTCATTTGCCTTGAAAATGTCCGTCCCTCTGGAGTTGGGAAGGGAAGGTGTTATTAAATTGTTCTTCAGGAGAGCAAATAGAGGGAGAGTTAATTGCCTGGCTTTGAGGCTCTATTTTGATGGTAAGAAGAGATGTTTAAATAAATTAAACTTGGAGAAATTAAACTTTGGGAAGTACAAGTCTTTCTCAGTTCCTAATCGTCCTGCGTAACACTGCCAGGTCAAGCTTCAACAACATCACATCATTCCATGACCCACAGAGACTACCAAATTCAGTTCAATTCCCTAACTCAGCGGGCAGGGTCTTTGACATTTCACCCTGCTCTTAAGTTTAGTTGGTTTTAGTCAAGCAGATCCATTTGCTACCCCTGGTGTCGGTTTTGAGCACTCTGTTTTACTTTCACAACGCTTAACCACACTTGCTGTGACTTGTTTAGGGTCTGTCTTCAGGCATGTAAACTCCAGGAAAGCAAGGACTGTCATTCTGTATCCAGAGAAGAGCAACATAGGAGGTGCTCAACAAACCCTTGCTTCTGGACTGCATGCTATACAAGCCTCTATGCCTTTCTTTGCTCATGCTATACCCTCAGCTTAGACTCCTCCTCTCCTACCTCGCTCTAGTGAAGTCAGAGTTGTCATTCCAAGCCAGAATCAAACCCTGATTCTTCTGTCTACTCTTCCAGACTCGGAAAGTACCATGGCATTGCTCTTTGATCTTTCTTACCTTACCTGCAGTTGTGTCAAATCATTTGTGCACTTGTGCAGTCACCCTCCCCTGCCTCTCTCAGACAGCTCTCAAAAGGCATGAACTACACACCAAGGCCTGGCAGGGTCAGACACTTGTTAAATATATGCTTACTTGTCTAAGATGTTTGTTGACCCATATTCTTCATTAACAAAATTCCCATTTCCAGAATATGCAGCTTGTCATGAAAGGGTATTTTTCTCATTCTTCCCTCATTCTTTTGAAAGACTGGGAGGAAGATCAGTTGGGGAGCCCCTTCTCCTTAAAGAGGACCTCTCTTTCCCCTGGGTGGGGAGCACTGTACTCCAGCACACAGGTAGAGAGTTCCATTTCCCACTGGGGTTGAGCAGGTTTGTAGGGCTAGTGCTTTTTTTAAGTTTCATTGCCAATGGCAATGCCAACCTAAATAACGGATAACTAATCAATACAAGAGCATCAACTAAAAAGATGTGATTAAAGCAATAACCTCCCAAGGAATTATGTAGTGCTCTGTGCATCTGGTGAGCATTCAGTTATAAGCGTACACCAGACTGAACTAACTATGGGGCCGTGTGAAAGTTTATAAGCAGCACATTTTATTTATTTTTATTTCCTTTATTCATATGTGCATACAATGATTGGGTCATTACTCCCCCCTTCCCCCTCCCTTTCCCTCCACCCTGTCCCTTTCCCCCGCCATCCCCTGGCTTCCAGGCAGAAACTGTTTTGCCCTTATCTCAATTTTGTTGAAGAGAGAGTATAAACATCAATAAGGAGGAGCAGGGGTTTTAGCAGCACATTTTTGATAGTCTAAAGACACTGAGGTAAGAGCAATGTGGGACACTGACCATCTGTGGTTTTTTTTTGGTAGTACTGAGATTTGAACTCAGGGCCTTGTGCTTGCTAGGCAGGCACCCTACCACTTGAGCCACACCCCAGCCCCTTACACTGACCATCTGTAATACAACACTCGGTGTAAGTTAGAAAGAGCTGCTTCAACAACTGTACTGTGAAATAGCCATGGTTAAAATTGATGTTGTGCATCTGTTATTTACTGAGATAGAAAGATGCCCACACTATATTGCTAAGTGAGGGAAGCAGACTCTAGAAGAACAGGATTATGTAAAATGACTCCACATTTATATTTGTATCTATTCATAGATGTGTGGATATTCTCTGAAATGTTAATGGTAGTTATCTCTGGGTGAGGAAATTTTGGGCAAATTTTTTCTTTACTTTTATTTTTATAGGTTTTAGATTGTTTGGATTTTATTTTTACAATGAGCAGCTACTATTTTTACAATAAAAATGTAGCTCTTCCCAGCTTACAAAACAAAAAATACTGGGGAGGGGGGATGAAGAGGATCAAAGCATGTTACCTGTATATGTATGAAGAGAGCATAAAGAAACCCACCAAATATTGTTTTTAAAAGGGAGGGCCGAGGGAAGGGAGTTAAGGGAATATAATAGTGGGGGTGAACTTGCTCAGAACACACTGTATGCATATATGAAATTTTCACACAAACCCCCCTTGTATTATTAATGAATCTTAAATAAAATAAGGGGAAAAAAAAGAGTTCTTCTGGGGATGGGAGTTTGGTTCAAGTGGCAGAGCACCTTCAAAGTAAGCATAAGAAGAGACAGACACCATTTAAGGAGAAGCTCAGGTGAAATCAAGCTTTCCTTACCTAGCGTGGATGATATGCACACTTGTCAGTGCCTCAAGCATGAAGCATCACTTCAAATAGCATTTTAACCCAAGCTTTTTTTTTTTTAAATTTTATTTTATTATTCTTTTATTCACATGTGCATATATTGTTTGGGTCATTTCTCCCCCTGTCCCCCCTCGCCCACCCTCTCCCTCCTTCCCCTCTCAGTTCCAGGCAGGTCCTGTTCTACCCTTATCACTAGTTTTGTTGAAGAAAAGAGAAAAGCCTAATAAGGAAGACAAAGTGTTTTTGCTAGTTGAGTTGAGGATAGCTATCCAGAAATATTCCTAGCATTGCTTTCGTGTACACGTGTTATGACCCATGTTAATTCATCTCTAACTGATCTTTACCCTGTTAACCCCAGCTTTGATGGCAGTTGGTTTACAGACACAGAATGTTTAATTCTATAGCTTATAGGACAAGAGAAAAAAATATCCTATGTCTAATAGCCTAGAAATGATGACTTTATTCCCCATGACAGTTAGTGTTGAAAAGAGACATACACTGGTGATCACAGTACAACTCACACTTTATTCCATCGTGATTGGTATAACATGTAGGATTGGGCAGCAAGAGACTAAAGTCAGTGCAGAACTTCTCTGGACTAACAGGCCGTGGAAGGCATTACTGGTTTTGGCACACAGAGTGGATAATCATACACTGGCTGGAACATGATGGGCAGGAAAATAAAATGCACAAGTCTAACTCCATGTTGAAATCATGTTTGAGTTCTGTAGAATGTTAGAAGAGTAAATCATCACAGACTAACATGCAACTCTACATAAGTTACATTACTCATCTACAGACTATTTTCCTCCCTTAGAGATGAAGGGATGGCCTTAGTGATTTGTTCATAGTAGTTTAAAAGACCAATCAACACACATTGGAGAGCTCTACCCACTGATTTCCACAGTAATCCATCATAATTGAAGAAATAATGTTAAATAATGTATTTGCTCTACAGCATCTTCTATTAGTATGAGTCATACTGACCAAGTAATTCTGACTCACTTGTTACTTACTTAAATATAATTCCTCATGTCTTTATAATGTCAAAAGCAGTTTCTGTTAGTTTTTCCATCTTTGTAAGTCACACAGACAAGAAGGGAACCTATGTAATGGGTACCTTTCCTTTTCAAAGATAACACTATGCTGATGAGAATATCAAAGAAATAATATTATTATGCTGCAAGTATATTAGATTTTCACATCATTGGATCACACAGGGAGTCCAAAGAAGCCAGCCCAGGAGGTAACACAGTAGCACAGAGTAAGATGTAGAAGAGGCACAGAAATTCTAAGTGATTCTCAAGGCAAAGAAAGAAAGGCAGAAAAGAAGCAAAGGAAAGGAAAAAATGGCCTTCAGCAGAACAAATTGTTATAGAGAAAAAAAATGCATTCATTTGTAACTGACTAGACATAATAGAGAACACTCCTCTAATTTGGGATGATAGAAGGAATGCTATTGGAAATTATATGCCGGTTAGCCCCAACTGGCGGATTGGGTTGTTTTCCTTTGGTTGTTTTTGAGATGGTGAGCTCTCACAGGAAGAACTTCAGCTTTTTTGCCAGTGTAGGGTTAGATTTAACCCAAAAGGGCAACCATAATTGCTGAGAACAATTTTTCTTTATTAACTTGGCCATGTTGCTAGCATTCATTCTCTCTGGTAAAAATATATTATTCACCAGTGATGAGAAGTTTCGTAGTAAGACAGTAACAGAGATACGGTTCATTCGTACAGGATGCACATAGTTAGATGTCTGCTTGTGATATGAATTTGAAAGTTAAACAATAGGAAGGAATTTCTTGCATCAAGTCATCAAATACATAAAAAAGACAGGCAATGAGGAAGGGTAGCTTGATTTTCTCAGAGGTCTCTCACCTCCATCTGCTGAGGGGGAAGATGAAATGAGTGAAGATAATTCTGTTGATCACCAACATAAGGAATATTTAATCATAAACACAGAGATATCAGAGCTAGATCTGAAGTAAGATTTTTTTTAGTCTTCCTGATTTTAAATCTTAACCAAGTTACAGGCAACACAGAAAAGGTGAAAATGGCTAGGAAGTTTGTGACATGCATGGATTAGTAGCCATTCCTTTGAAAGTATCATTTCCCTGGCCTGAAACCTGATCTCTCCCTTCACTGAGGCATTGTTCTTTGTAAGTGTCAGCTGAAAATTGTGTAATCTGAAGGCTAGAGGAGAAAGAAATTTTAGTTGAATTCCACAATAAATGTTCACCAATATTTGAAAGCAGAATCATCCATTGTGTGAGGTTGGTTTCAGGCACCAAGTCAGTCACTTACTGAACATGATCCTTGGTCCATGGGTGCCTGCTCCCTCTGGCTGGCACTAACCCCCCATAATCACTTTTAGACTTGGTATCTCTTGAAAGAAATGACTTTGCTAGACCATGATGATTTCAAGGGTAGAAGGATGGAAGTAAGGTGAGCCAGGACAGGGGAAAACAGAAATAAATGGAAGGAAAAAAAAAAGGCTTTTTCCAAGGTCTCATATGTGTAGTAATGAGGCAAAAATTCATGGCATATGACTTAGAGACTTTCTAAAATGTTGTAGCCATGGGGTGTTTCCAAGCTTCTTGATCTACACTCCCTTAGCAACCATCTGGTGCTGAATTTATCTTCCTAGGTGTGGTGCCCTACTTCTTCTGGAATTTAGATCTCTGGGGCAAACCCCATCAGGATCTGCCTCTGTGTAGTTAATTCTCCCCTAAAACAGCCACTCTGATTTTGGTTGCAGTTCTGATGGGGAACTTGTTTGCCCCTCCAGGGGAGGGAGGACTGGTGGTGGTAAAAGATGTGGCCGGGAGGCATAAGAGACCGATGGCAGACAGACAGGGTGACTTGTGGAAAGGAATACAGAATGCAAGAACTTGGATTTTACCCAAGGTCAAGGTGGCTGGGGAAGAAAAGGCAAAAGAAAGTACCTGGGAAAAAGGCTTTCAGAGTTTTGAAGAAAAGAAGAAGGAAATGTGAAGAATCCAAGGGCCGGGGAATTTCACAGGAAACAAACATGATTCATGATGCTGAAAAACAAAACAAAACAAAACAAAAAAAACAAACCTAGCTTATCTGACTGATCAAGAAGACATTCTTCAGAATACATTGGAACTAGACAATTTTCACACTGATAATATAAACACTGAAACGAGTGTTTCCATACTATTATTAATCAATCACATTTCAATGATTCATTAGTTCTATGTTTTCTAGGTTGCTTAATTCATTTAGCAAATCCACAGTTTAGGTACCACCGTGACGGTAAAGAGGGTGAGAGTGCAGAAAATGAAGCAATTAAACTTAGAATTAAATTTCTGTAAACAAGAGTTAGTAGCACGGCAGCACAGCAGATTGTCAAGGAAAACAACAGGAGTGGGTACAGAGCCATTGGCCTGGCCTGGGCCATGTTGGTGGCTACCAGGGAGGGCCTCTGTAGCTCAGGAGTCCACCTTCTTGTTAATTAAAACTGAGCAGCAGGTGAGCAACCCATCCACCTTTTCCAGTTCAGAAGTGCTGACAGGGATTAGCAGATGGTCTTTCAGTTTCTCATACACCTACAGTGGGAGTTCAGGGGAAGAGAGAGAGAAGGATTACATGGCAGCTTGTTTTACCGACCCCAGGTGCAGAGAATTAATTCAGTTTCTGTGTCAAACCTTTTCACCCATTTAACCCCAAGACATACATGCAACTGAGGCCCCACACAGGCCCACAGCCCTCCCCAGAGCTGGTTGCAATTGGTTAACTACCAGCTGTATTCTGTAACCTCAAAGCCATTGATGTGTCAGAAATATAACTGTTGCTAGAAAGGCCTTTATCCTGCCATTGTCCTTGCTAGGTGAGGTGATAAATGAAAGTTCGAGGCCTTGTGTGTGTTCTGTCTGAACATTATACCGTCTCCACAAGGCAAAGCCCTCTCAACTATACTTTAATGTTTCTTTTCTTTCCAACACCACTGGAAAACTTTGACAGAATGTAATGTAAGTGAATTATTTCAGGCCATGCTGCTTTTAAATTATAGGTGTGAATTTTATGGCATCTTTCAACATAATGTAAAGTGTGTGTCAAAACTTCAAATTAACAGTTCATAGTTTTGTTTCTTTTTCTTTGATCAAACAAATCACTTGGAAATACTGCCTAAAAACAATCAACCACGAGTTTTTTTTTTTTAAACTGTACTGAGAATTGAACTCAGGGCCTTGTACTTGCTAGTACTCTACCACTTGAGCCTCACCCCATGCCCTTTTTGTGTTAGCTATTTTTCAGGTAGAGTCTCATGCTTCTTGCCAAGCCTGGCCTTGGACTATGAACCTCCTGCCTATACTTCCTGTGCAGTTGGGATTAAAGATTTGACCCACTATACCTGGCTTGTTCTTTGAATGGGTCTAACTTTTTTTTTTTTTTTGCCCAGGCTGTCCTTGAACTGTGATCCTCCAATCACTGACTCCCAAGTAGTTGGGATTACAGACATGATCCACCATGCCTGGCCCATTTACCTCCTTCTTTAGGGAGACCTGTGTGTTCTTTAAAATTCAGTACAGTGACTGGTGGGAGGAGGGAGAGTGAAGGAGATTAAGGTGAGGGTGTATGGTTAATGGACTTTATCTACTTAGATGAAACAGAACAAAGAAATCTCTTGTAATTGCTTTAAGTGGAGTGGGGAGGGGGTTGAGGGGGAGAGAAGATGGGGACAAGCTAACCAATGTACAATATGAGCCTAATCGTAATTGTCATTATGAATTTCCCCCTGCATAATGAATACATCTCTAATAAAAACTTTTTATAATAAAAAATTCAGTACAGTGATTAGGTGTAGGAGTCAGTTGGGTTCCAAATTCAGGTGTCAGCTTAGTACCATGAGTTCAGTTATGTGACATCTCCTCAGCCTATTTACTGACTTCTCTATAAGGCTGTAATAATAATAATAGTAACCGTAATAACAATAATGCCCTGCCAGGGCTATTATAAGAACTAAACAAGATAATGCTTATAGCATGCTTGACACAGTGCCCGGCATGGGAGAAACCCTCAGCAAACAGGGTGCTACTGGCTTTCTTCTTGCTGATGACAGACACAGGGCTGAGATGGCCGTGCTAATGAGCAACTGGCTATCACTGATCAGGTGATCAATGAGGCTGAAGGGGCACAGAGCATATAGACCTGTATTCTCAAAGTTAGTTCTGTGAACAGGGACTTGTTGCTATTGTAGATTTTAGGATGGGAGTCCAGAAACCTGCATTTTTAACAACCCTCATGCTCATTAGAGGACAAGATCCGCTGTTCATCTACAGGTCTGAGATCAGAAGTCCCATGTTTCCCTCAGGTTCACAGAGTCAGCCATGGAAATAGAGAAATTATCTGTGTATTTTCCCCCTCCTCTTTTTGTCAAAAGTGGCAGAAAATAATTTCTGGTATTTTCAAAGCACAAGACATTTAGAAAATGGCTACGAACGGCTCTTCTATAATACTTGGGGTACTTACCATGTTCCTCAGGATAGAGATGAAGATGCTGAGTGTCTAGATGACACAGACACCTGAAGAATCTATGGTTGAGCACTTATACATATGCTTGGTAGGATACAACTAAAATTACTAAGGATACAGATGAGACTGGCAGGGTACCTTGAAAGACAAGGGAGGTTTTCTTAGAGCAAAAAGGAATTCCAGATCCAGGGACAACTCCCTTGTTGGAACACAAATGCAGAGACTCTTGGAGGGACCAGCGGGCTGATTCCACTTGGGCCCCATTTCTTCCTGGTATGTATTCTTATTGCCTAGGATGTGCAGCCCTCTCTTTTTTTGCAGCTCTGACAATGAGCGCCCACTTCTCAGGTTCACTCTTAATCGTCTGCCTTAAGAAACAAATGCCTCTCTGCTAAGGGGCAGCTCAGATTTGTCAGATAACAATGATACAGCTAACCATCTGACTGTAAATTTTTACGCCTAAGGAGTATCTGATGTAGGAAGGTACATTTAGTCAGAAAGCATAGACTTGGGTAGTTGGAATAGTAGACATCTCAATTACTGTGCATGCATTAGTGAACAATGCATGATTGAGAAAAGTTTAATAAACTTTCCCTTGCCTTAAATCATCCTTTCTGCTTTCTTAATAATTTGATACGTATAGAGGAAATGAAAGCCTCCATCTTTCACTCCATCATGAAAGAATCCCTAGGGAGGCCTACTCAACCACAGGAGGGATGGTATTTTTACCTTTGCACTTTCTGGATACTCTTCTGGGGTTCGGTACAGCAAGACATGCCCTTTGCTGGGGATGTTTAGATATATGCAGTTTGCAGCCATGTCATCAGGCACAGTTAGCTTGTCATAGCGGTGGTCACTCATTTGCTGCATGATCTAGAAAGAGAAACAAAGAGAGTAGAGTCTTCCACACTTTCACATGAAAGGAAGGACAGGGGCTTGCAATTTGATGCTTTAGGTTGTTCTGTTGAGCAAGTTCGTATTACCTCCAGTCACTTACAACCAGGAGAGGAAAACCCAATTCAGCTGAGATCCTTTGGAAGCATCTTCGTTCTTTTAAAGTGTGTGCTTGTCTCTGCTTTTTTTTTTTTTTTAAGGTTTTAAAACTGTCTATTTTTAGTTTTTGTTCATAAGTAAGACACAAAATGGCCACATATACAAAAGGCCCAGCAGGAATTTTGAGGATATTCTTGGTTGAGTAAATCGGGATGCCCTAGTCTATAGGCATATAGGATATAGTCTACCTTCAAAATAGTCAATAATAAGACTTAGCATAAACACACACATGCAATTTGCTCTTTTATGTGCATCTAAGTTGAGTTCACCAACCTCTTGGGAGGTGGTACCCTTTAATACAATGAGAAAAAGAATAAAACCTCAACAAACTCATATTCCTAGGCATCACTATGGAAATTCTGGTTTGGCAAATGTAGGGTGAGACACAGGAATTTGCATTTTGAAAACCCTCCAGATAATTCTGAGGCAGAGTGTCCTGGACCACACTTAGAAAATGAATACTTATTTTTCATAAAGTAACTCTGAAAATTATTTAAAAACATAATGTATGAAAAGTGCTTAGCATAATTCCTAGCACGTATAGAACATGAAATAAATGGGACAGCCTTTCTCTCTGCTTAAGTTACTTGCATATGGCAGGTGATCAAAATATCTTTGTAGTTATTGATTCATTTCTTTATCCGTTTCGCTCTTTCAGTGGACATAGGGGACTTCAGGAGTACTCTGGTGAACAATGCAGTCAATCACATCAATCACTTTTGTAAACAACTGCATTCCCTCAGAAAAATGGGGTATGGTCTATGTCCAGAAATACAAATGCAATTCATTACTTAAAGGAAACTTGGTTAAAATCAGTGAGGCCAATCCTGAGAGGAGGATCAACTGGACCACATCTCTGACCAGCTCTAATCCTCGGACCATACCTGTGGTCAGGATTGTTTAATAATTATAGGCACCTTTTGCTCTTTGCCCCAGTTCTTCTTTATTTAAACCTAAAACTCTGTACCCCAAAGAGGCTCGCTTTGCCTTTTTCCATGGCTGCTCATTTCGAATAATCTCCTTTCCTCTGCCCTTCATCACTACTTGTCTCTCTATTTGGTATACTGGGGCAAATGGCTAGACCTGACATGTTAGAACACCTGAAGCAAGCCTCTGCCCTAGAACTCTGGGTTATATCATCAGGTCAAACTTAGACAAAAACGACAAAATCTGAAAATCTATTATTTCCATTGACTTAATTTTCTAAGCACCTGGAAGAACGGGGGAGAGTATTTTGGCTCAACACATTCAGGCTAGGTGCTTCCACTGTTCACAAGCACCAGATAATTGCCAGTGGTTTTCCAGTTTAATTCACGGTCTACAGATGACTCACTGCATTGTTATCCATAGATAAGGAAATCACAAGATTCACTGAAAGAGAAAGAAGCCTGGTAAAGACCACACCTCTGAGGCCTTGCTGTACCTTCCCGGCTCCATAAGCAATGTAGGCAAATCTCCCACCGATCCGTCTTGACTCACCCGCATCCGGTGCTAACCATGAAGCAGAAACATGGAATGTCGTGCATTCTAAAGGAAGTGTTATCAAGGACTGTTATCAGTGGCTGACTTCTTGTTTACCAGTGAAGGAGAAAATGACAATCTCCAAGGTTGTGACTACTTCAAAAAGTGCCATGTTTCACTGGAGTAGCAACACTGTAGATTTCCCTGTCGTGCTTTCCTTTGGCTCTGTCCCCACTCCCCACCCCCTACCCTCACCTCCTTGAGTGAACAATCCTCTCTCCCCTTGGCTCCTCTTTGAGTTCTTCTTTGGTTGATGACATTTATTTCAAATTCTAATCTCTGGCTTTCCTCACTCTTTGTGTCTCCCTTTTCTGAGCCTTATATTTTATAGCTTTCGATGGGGGGTATTCCTAAAATTACTGATATAAGGGGCCAATACCTACCCTAGAATTGTTTGAAGATGTTTAATTTTTTCATTACTGGGAGGAAAGGAATTCTTAGTGGAGGAATAATTTATTGCTGAGAATATATAAAGTAATTTACTGATAAATTCTGCTGCTGAGAATTACTCTTAAAATAAATGCCTTAACAAAACCACCAAAGTTACCTTAGGAGAGGCTTTTCAATTAATTTATCCCAGCCCCTTGGTTATCATCTTGAGACAAATTTAAAAATAAGCCAGAAGAAATGACTTTTAATAATGAACAAGCCCCATTTGGAGCAGTGAATAGTTCTGCTTAAATGAAAGAAAAAATATACAAAGCCAAGTCAGGTGTATTCTTTCTGGATTCTGAAAATGTTAACTGTAGAAAATAAGTAAGAAATAATTTTTTCATGGCAAAGCTAAAGGATTCTAAACACAAAGAGTTTCTTTTTAGCTTTTCTTTTCCTGTCAGTGATAATTTTCTTTTCTTACATGTTACTGTTTGAATAAAGCAGCTTGCCATTAATTTGTACCTGGGTTCAGGAGATGCATGCATATTTACAGTGCAGGGTGCTCATGGTTCAGGGGATACACAGAGAAAGGCTAGGGAGGAATAGGTTTTCTATTCCCTGTGTGGATGTTCAGAGCCTTTGTGAAAAGATGAGCATCATTTCAAATATCCCAAGAATGCAGCTGTTGGGCTATTTGGTTCTAGGCTCCAACATTTTTTCCTTAAAAAGTTTGGAGGAGGTGGTATTGTTCTAGAGCTCTTGTAAAGTACTCCTTTTACACCACAGACTGTACTTCCTGCTTTTCACTGAGCCCCCAGGCCAGAACGGAAAGCAGAAAACACCTAAACCCTTTTCACGTCATACAATTTCCTCTCCTTAAGAGCAGATTACTCTACATCCTGAGAGGCCTCAGACTCAAGGGTGAAAAATCCACATAAGTTTTATAGGATTTGGGGGGAAAACTTAAGTCAAGTTGCTATTCCAAACTGAAAGTCATTCCACTTTGTGTATCATAATTAGGGTGATTATTATTGGGATTGATACAATTGGTGTTCAGTTCTGTTGAAGAAGGCATCCTTTATGGAGTCTTGTCTTTGGACTAATGGTGGTGTGAGTTCGGAAAAAGAAGCAAAAATAATTTAATCTTGTCTTCAGGAGATGATAATCTCGTCCTACAGGCATGTGAAGGATAGTCGCAGAAAAAAGAAAGTCAATCTAATTTTTATCATGTGTACCTTCTCATTGAAGAAGGGATGAGGAAGGCACGCAGCTGTGCAGAGGAAATGGCTCTGACCACCATCTTGGCCACATCATCGTTCTCCTAGTCTGTTACAACAGATGCTGGTTTGGAGGAACTAGCCTTGCTCCCTACAGTGGAGCTGTCACAAAATAGAGTGGGAACTCTCTGGCTTTCAGCCCAAGAGAATCTGCATGGTTAGTAGCATTAACCAGGCATTTCCGACAGATCTCAACATTTCTGGGAATTTTCTCATTCAAAGGACTGGAAGGCAGCTCCATTCTCCTGCTTCTACTCATGCTTTCTTCATATTACAGCAACTGTATTTAAAAAAAAATCCTGAACTATTTGATAGAGCAATTTAGGACTGAATTTGTCAAATCCTGAAGCAAAAATATAAGAAGATATTTTCAGATAGTGAGGAAATATTCTAAGCACATTTCTGAATCACTCATAATTGAGCTTATGATATATGTATGTACCCATCGCAAGTATCAAAACTAAATCAATATTAAAAGGAACTAATTATAGTCTGTTGAGATATATAATATTTGCACAAGCACACTTTACATTGCTCCTAGATATCTAAAATGATTCATTTACTTATTTATCATCCATCAGGAGTTTTTACTGAGAGTCTGACAATATAGCAGGCATCAAACCTTCGTGATCCTTTTAAGGTTGAGCCAATATAACTGTGGATAACATAACAGAATTGATATTATATTTTTATATTTTATAGTTTCTCACACATGATTCAAAATGAACACTGCCTGAGAGATGTCTTTTGAGTATTCTCTCTGCATTGATGGGTTGTACAGATCCCAAGAAAGAAGTTACATGGCTCTTTTTAGTTAAGTCTGTGCAAAATTTCAATGACAAATATTCCCTTCAAAGTCAACTGCCATTTTCTTTACAAATTTTCTTTCAAATTTGGTGCTGCTGCTTTTGCTCAGATCCTTTGGACCTCATGAATATGTGGAGGAATACCTTCCCATGTTGTTCAAACTATAACCACAAGTCACAAGAACCGTTTCTGAGATGGACCCTCCAAAACAATGGCCTCTGTAGAAGGCTGGGAAAACCTCCCACACTCTGAGGGGATCTCGCTGAGCTCTACTGAAGATCTAGGAAGGACAGCGTGGACAGGAGGACAAGGGGAAATAGTTCTGGGTGAGTGACAGCCCTGACGGTTTTATTTCAGGGGTGGAAAGGAGGGAAAGGGAGACGGAGCACCCCTTCCAAAGCACAAAGTCTAGGCTCCTGCTCTCTCCTTACCCTGCCTATGCATGCTTTAAAACCAGCTCTACAGCAGAAGTCACTTTGTCATGATCTTTTTCTCATGTCTTATATGTAAGTACATAAAAAGCTGCCCATTTGGCCACTGAGGTCGTGCCCTGGCTGAGCTTCCTCAGATTCTGGCATCACCATACCCTTTGGCACTCTTAAATACCACCATCAAAGATTAACTCTGCTGGTATTGGAACCTGCACTGATATTTAAGGTTCTCTTGGTCCATTCGTCAGCAAGAAACAACAGAAACACTAATCTTCTATTCGTTGATGAATTAATTTCTTCTTCATTTCTCTCTCACAGCAGTCCCGTGTATTGGGTGGGAAAGTCTCCATCTTTACAGATGAGAAAACTAATGTCCAGGGAAATTCAGTAATTTGCCCCAGGGTCACAC